TACGCGCCACGCTAACTGGACCCAAGGTCGTACTGTAACCCCCAGCAACATTCCGGGTAATTCCAAGAAGGAGATTCCGGATCTTATCCATAGCAGTGGAGCCCCTAAAACCTCGCTCAGCAATGAAATTAAAACCGCTGCCTGTGTCAGCGATAAAACGCCTTGAACCCAAGCCGACGTGGTCATATCTTCCATTCCCGCCGGCTGCGTCCCCCTCGGTCTCGCACTCCCCTGCTAGCCACAACTTCCAAACTTCACTCTCAAGCCTAGAAGCCCTGGAAGCGGCCCTGGGCAGTGACGCTTTCGATGAAAGGACAACATTTAATTTCTACAATGAAAAATGGTCTTACTCGGCGACGAGGGCGCCATCTGCCCTTACTAGACGACGGGAGTGACTTCCCTACTCGTGGTCTCCTAAGAGTCACAGTGGGACTTCCAATCAGATGGTTGAAACGAACGTTCGGCCGCGTGGCGCGGAAAAAAGCCTTCGCGACAATCGGCCGTGGGTTCGCGCCATGCATCGCCTTGATGGCCTCCCTCGGCAAAATGGTATCAAACATAGAGAGGAGGGGGCCCTCCAATTCCGCCGCATCTGAGATTGTGACAGGTGCTGAATCTACAACGTCTTTGATGTACCCCACGTAGGGTACGGGTGCGACATGGGTAGCGCCCATGGAAGAACGTTTCTCGTCAACAGACACCGGCATTTCAGACTGCGCGCCGAACTTCAACGGTGCTGGACAAGCATCATGATCACCGCATGTCTTCTCCGGGCATGGCCCGTGGCCACAACGTCGCTGTCCGTCGCGCCTCGCGCGCGCGAATGCAGAAATGGCGCGTCGGAGCTTCATTATGGCCATAAGCACTGCGTTAAAACTTATATGATCAGAATGCCCCTGGGAGCGAGCGGCTGGGCCGCAAGCCCCTGGTCGCCGATGTCGCGGATGCCCAGGGGTGTCGGCGCGGAATCGACGCTGGGCGCCGAAGGGAGATTTGCACTTCTCCGTCCATATCCAGCATTGTGCTCTCCCCTTGCCTTCGCCGTTCCCTTTGCTACTGGCGCTCTTCTTCTGGCTGCCCTTCTCGCCGGCGCCAGAGCAAGCTGCGGGGAATGCCTTGGCCGCGTTAAGCTGCCGCAGATTCGGCCTGTTCCTGAATGCGCTCGCGCGTGGAATTTCCCGTTTTCTGCGCGGCATGTCCCCGCTTGCCCCGTCGCGGCACTTCCTCGGGGGTCAAGGGGAGTCGTTCTGTTGGCCACGGCACTTGCCTCTCGAGAAGGCGTGACAAAACGCATTCTTCTGTCGTTTCTGGCGGCCCTTCGACGACCTCCTGCTGCCTTTTGTCCCCGGTGCGGGCGGTCTGTCTTTGATGCCCTTATTTTCTGCACCACTTGCTTCTCCGACTTGGGCCTCCCGGCTTGTTGAGCCGGCGGGGTCGCAGGGGCTGCCTCAGGCCCCCCATGATTGAATGGGCACCCTTGCTTCTTACTTGGGCAACGACGTTTTTCCAGGCGCCTGCGCGGGGCGCGTTTCTTCGACCGCCCGTCTTTCATCTTGTCAGCGGGCTTCCCCGCGGATTTGTTTCGGGCCTGCTGGGCCCCGGGAGCAGTGGGTTCGCTCTTTATGTTGCCCCTTTCTGTTGAAAGCTCTCTTCCGACAATCGAGGCTGGATGCCCCCCTCTCTTTTCCGTGCGTTCCGCTGTTGCAGAGTAGTCGCCCGCGTGTCTTGACAGCTGGTCCCGTTGGGCCGCTAGTCGCGTCGCAATGTCATGGTCCACTTTATCTTCGGGGCCAGCTTCGTCTGCTCATAGGAGTGTGCATGGGTGGCTGCTGCCATTCCTGGGATGGATCAGAACACCGTGCAGGTCACTTTCTAGTGCCATCCACTAATTGTAGAAGCGGTGCATGTCGTCGACGGCTTATTCTTCAATGGCGATTTTGAACAGATCTCTCGTCACCATATTCCTGCCATGTTCTGCGTGGAAAGAAAGCCACCGAGAGATGGGGCGCGTCGTCTTCCGGCCAGTGGGCACCCGAGATTCGCCATTCCCCTCGTGCTCCAATCGCGAAGCCTGCGCATGAGATGGGCCCGATGCGGAGGTCGGGAGGTCAATCTTTCTCCTGTCTATCTTGGCAATCTTTTCTGTGAGGTCAGAATCAAGCGTCATATCGATGCGCTCGTGGTCACCTGATTTCTGTGAGATCTTTGCGTCGACCCCGCGACCGAGCGCCTGCGCGATCCGCGGCGTGGCGCCAGATTCATCGGGCGAGGCAGATGATATCACTCTCGCTGCACGCAGTTTCCACTCGCGCAAATCGGTCGCGCCAGGGATTGGCGCCAGCTTGATTTCCGAAAAATTGCCCATCTGTTTCCATAATTCCAAAGGTCATGGGGCCGCGATCATCTTGATCGCCGCATCCTCCTCCAGCGCCATCCACCCGGGCGGCCCCCCTCCGCCTCCGCCTCCCCCTCGGGCTGAACCATCAGCAGGACTTGGTGGATCGGGCGGGTCTTTCGATGCGATCGGCACTCTGGGGGCAGTTTTTTTTCGGGGCGGTTGGAGGAATTCGGGAAACGCCGGCTCCTCGCGACATGATCTCTCTGTGTTTTGGCGGCAAACGCTCTGATGCAGTACCGAGCAGTCTCGGTGTGTTGTCAACCGTTTCGGCTTTTTCGGCTTTCTCCCATGCATCGCGTTCCTTGCGTCAGTTCATCACGCTTCTCTTCTGTTCTTTGATGATGTTAGCCGTGCGCATCTGCTATCCCATTGTTGAGAACGCCAGCGTTCCTCTTTCTGGCACCTTCTCTCAGCGTCCGCTTCGGCCTCTTGTTATTAGTTCAGTGTTTACAACGCCTCGTCCTGGGATCAATGCGGGCGTCGCAGCGTGGCGCGGCGCATTGGGCGCGCTCTGATGACTTTGGGCAGCTGCAAGAATGACATGCCCTCGCGTCTTTAGAGGCCATTGCAACGCGAAGTTGGGGCGTCCCCCTCGGGGCAAGGTGCGAAGTATGTCCCGGCGCCGGAAGCGGAGCCTCGGTCGTCGTTCCACTCGTGCTGCCGTTCCCTGAGCACCCCTGTGCGTCGTCATGGCCATCGAGACTATCGGAAGGTCCCTGCGCGCGGCAGGCCAAGTCTGAGGCTCCGCCAGCATCTCCCCATCTCCAGGCGCGGTCGTGTCATGTGGCACACAAGGAGCAGGCAAAGTATGACGTGCTTCTCTGTGCCGTGCAAGGTCTTCCGAGACCATGGCAGTTTAATGTTAACTTGTTCCGCCTGATCGATGGCGTTCCGCTCGCGGAAACCCACTTGCTGTACCATCGCTATTGTTTCTCCCCTCGTATGTTGATTCAAGGCAGTGGCCTGTGCATCCCTCTCTTGCATTGAGCGCTCTGCCGATCGATGAGAGTTTCTTGCTCCTTGTTTGACTTTCTACAAGCTTTGTTGCATTTGAGCTTCTTTCGCAATCGTGCCCCCCGCCTCTCCGCTTTCTGTGACCTGGAGCTCCAGTTTGGTTAGCTCTTCCAACCTCTTACTTTGCCCAGCCACCGTCAAGGACCTCTGGGCCGCCTCTGGCCTCTGGAATAGCAAGGTGGCCCAGTTGTGCCTGCCTAGCGGCGCGATGGGAGGATTCCTCTTCAGCATAATTCCGTCTGATATGTAAATCTTTTTCTGCCTTGAAAATGTGCGCCTGTGCTGCCAGCTCTTCGCGTAGCCTCTTCTCGTTGGCTGATCTTTTCTCCGCCTCTGCCTGTTGCCATTCCAGAAGAGGTGGGCGGCGGCAGTTATATTCCCTCATGCCCAAGCATTCGGAACAATACCACTCGAGGTTACAATATCGACAGCTGTGAGAACACCCTGCGCGTGCTGGTCGCTGACACGGCCCCTCTGCCCTCTGCACCTTTCCTGGGCATCTGTTTTCGGCTGGAGGATCGCATCTTGGCCCTTTCACCCAACGGCTAGTCTTTACTGAGATGCCTGCGGAGGAAGATCTACAGGATCCTGGGCTGCTTCTCGGTCGGTTGAACAACCTAGATGCCCAAGGCGATCTTGACAAGGATCTTCTACCACCGCTACGCGGGGACACGGAAGTGGTCCAGAACTCTGGTCCTCAACGAGAGGCTGTCGTTCTTGAATCATGTGTCCTGCCATTTCGGGGACTGGAACTGGGGATTCCTTGTTCATGCTGACATGTCCAGGCCCCTTGTGACGCTTCGTCCCAGGCGTCTCCCCTGCGCTATCCCTCGTGTGATCTGCTTGCGACACACTCAGGATAAGATTGCTTTGAAAGGGCGAGCTGCCAGATTTGATATCTTCATCTTCCAGGATAGCGGACAACGCGCGTGCCATATCGTCCCCTGTCTCTACCGGCTGAACCTAGGTCGATCCACCGTCCACCGAACGAACGAGTGGATCGTCGAACAACGAGAAAACATGTATTTCAGGAATGAAATTGGTTGGCTCATCCGTTATAGGTGCGATAGTCCATGCATGGGTGTTCTCTGTTCGAACAATTACGTTACTATCATTGACTGCGCTCGTCTGCGCATCTGATCCATCAATGAAACTTACGGGTGGTAGCAAGTCATTCGCCAGAGGATCATGGTTCCCGGCGAAGATGGGCTTAAATGGTGAAAGTGAGGTATGGGTATCATTGCTCATGATGGGTCTACCAGATGTGCTTCTTAGTATTCGACAATCCGTTGAGCTGCTATGTGGAAGTGAGAAAGCGAGGAGGACGACGAGACAATCCAACTTACCCTTCACACGCGCGCGCGGGAAGCGCGCTCCTCCACACGATGTTAATAATAATAACTTGAGCCAGCGTCAGCGGCGGGGTGGCGGCGAGCACAGGAAGCGAGCAGGGAGAGAGCATTGACAACTCCTCCTCCTCCTCCTCCTCCTCCTCCTCGTCCTCCTCCTCCTCCTCCTCCTCCCCCTCCCCCTCCGATCCCCGTCCTCCTCCACTTCTTCGCCTCTCCACGTTGCCGTCCCCGCGAGCCTGCTGTTTGGGGTGACGCCCCTCTCCATGGTGGCCATCCTCGGAGACGACGTCATGCTGTCTGGGGCGACGGGGGACGCAGGAGGGGTTCGCGGGGTCGCGGCGAAGGGGAATTGTGGCCATGATGAAGGGGCGGGAGGGAGGGAGGCAGCTAGGGGGATGGGTGAGGAAAAAGGGGATTCATATTCAGAAGCCGCTGGAGATCAAACCAAGCGTGGGCACGAACATGACACACCAGATCTGGGCGGATCTACCCGCGTTTTTTCGAGGCAGGGGGTGGGGGGAGGGGGGGTGCCCTGGACGTACGGGGCGCAATCCCACCAGCCCTCTGGGCGTGGGTGGGTTTCTCTTCCAACCCCCTTTCCTCCCCTTCGGGGAGGGGTTAGCATTGCTCCCTATCAATATACACACCCTCCCCCAGGCGACCGGCAACCAACCAGAAACAATGTCGACCCTGTGCTCCCCACCCCCCAACCACCCCTTCCAAACTTGCAAAAAACAGTACAAAGCACACTCGGCCTCCAAATTCGGAGCCTGCGCAACCAACCCGATGCGGGTCATCCCCACCATCCTTTTCAACAAAACAATGCAACATACACTGGGGCATGTTCGTGAAGTCTGCGGGCACTATGCGTTGTTTTTTGGCAGGGACGGCGGGGGTGTCAGCAGATTTCCTGCTGTGCGCAGGGTCACCATCCCTTTTTAAAAACGATACAAAATACACTTCGCGGCTAAATCTGAATCGTGCGCGGCCACCCCGCGATCACAGTCAAGTGGTTTTGACAAGGACGGCGGGGGTGGTGGCGAACGGCTTGCTGTGTGCAGGCCCACCAGAGACCATGATGGGTAGTTGTTTTCGAGAAGGATGGTGGGGGCAGACATGTTTCCCGATGTGTGCTATCGCGTGCGCAGGCGCACCTGACACACCCTGCACGCCCCGAGCGTGGTGCACCTGGCGGGGTGGAGTATGCGGCGGCATTCCTGGCGCACGTGGAGCACGTAGCGCATCTGGCGCACCAGGCGTGCCTGGCACGTTCGGGCCCCAGGGGTGCCTGGCGCGCGTGGCGCGCTTGGCACGCGTTGCGCACCTCGCCCCAGCGACGCGCACCTGGGATCGGTTTTGGTTCCCAACTGCTGTCCATCCACAAAGACTGGGAGGGCGGGTGGGAGTCAGCTAGACGGCTTGCCATCTAGGAGGGTATCCTGATCACTGTTCCTTATTAATCTACACCCCCTCCCCCACCCGGCCGGCGTCCAACCAAGAACCATGCGACACCATAAGGGCCGGCCCACCACCATCCCTGTCAAAAAACAATACAAGCCGTACTCTGTCTCCACATTTGGAGCATGCGCGGCCAACCAGATGGCCCCCCCCAACCCCCACCATCCCAGTCAAAAAACAATGCAACGTACAATGTGGGGCAAAGTCTTAAGTCATGTTCGTGAGGCCCGCGGGCACTGTGTATTGCTTTTGACAAGGACGGCGGCGGTGCCAACATATTCCTTGCCGTGCGCAGGGCTACCATCCCTGACAAACAACAGTACAGTACAACATGCATTTCGCGGATAAATCTGGATCATGCGCGGCCATCCCACGATCACTGTCAAATAATTTGTGGCAGGGACGACGGGGGTGGTGTTGAGTGGCCTGCTGTGCGACGGCCCACCAAACACAATGATGGGCATTGGCTTTCGACAAGGATGGCGGGAGCCGACATGGTTCCCGATGTGTGCTGTCACGTGCGCAGTCGCACCTGAAACAATCTGCACGTGCCCCGAACATGGCGCACCTGGCGCGGCTGGAGTGTGTGGCGCACCTGGCGCATTCGGAGCACGTGGCGCATCTGGCGTGGCGCGCGTGGCGCGCTTGGCACGCGTTGCGCACCTCGCCCCAGCGTCGCGCACCTGGGGTCGGTTTTTGTTCCCAGTAGCTGGCCATCTAAAGACGACCGTTGAGGATGCTCAAGCTCGGGTGTTACTTATGTGTTGGGAGGGCGGGTGGGAGTGAGCTCGACGGCTTGCAAGCGGGTGGGTAGCTTGATCACTGTTCCCTATTTATATTCACCACCTCCCCCAGGCGACTGGGAGCCAACCCAAGACCATGCGGGCACCCCCCACCATCCCTTATAAAAAAGCCATACAAAATACACTCTGCCCCGACCATCCCTTGCAACAGACAATACAAACACACACTCTGCCTCCAAATTCGGAGCATGCGCAGCCAACCCGATGCGGCCTCCCCCCACCTTCCCTGTCAAACAATACAGAATATACTTGGCGGGCGGCGGCGGCGGCGGCTGCGGCGGCGGTGCGGCGGGCGGGCGGCGGCGGTGGCGGCGGCGGGGGCGGGGGCGGCGCGGGGCTGCGGCGGTGGCGGCGACTTGGCAACGGGGGCGACGGCGGCGGAGGCGGTGGCGGCGGGCGGCGGCGGCGGGCGGCGGCGGGCGGCGGCGGCGGCGCGGCGGCGGCGGCGGCGGCAACGGCGGCGGTGGCGGCGGCGGCGGCGGCGGCGGATTCGCCCCCAGTAGCTGCCCATCCAAAGGCGACTGCTGAATATGGTGAGGCTCGGGCCAAGCTCGGGTGCTACATATGTGTTGGGAGGGCGGGTGGGAATGAGCTAGACGGCTTGCGGGCGGAGAGGGGTCTGGATCACTGCTCCCTATGTATATTCCCCTTCCCCCCCCAGGCGGCTGGGAGCCAACCCGAATCAATGAGGGCCCCCCCCCACCATCCCTGGTACAAAACAATACAAAACACACTCTGCCCCCACCATCCCTTGTAACAAACAATACAAAACACACTCTGTCTTCTAATTCGGAACATGCGCAGCGAACCCGATGCGGCCTCCCCCACCATCCCTGTCAAAACACAATGCAGAATACACTTGGCGGCAACGGCGGCTGCGGCGGAGGCAGCGGCTGCGGCGGCTGCGGCGGGGACGGCGGCAGCGGCGGCAGCGGTGGCGGCAGCGATTGCGGCGGCAGCGGCAACGGCGGCGGCGGCGATTTGGCAGCGGGGGCGGCGGTGGCGGCGACGGCGGCGGGCGGTGCGGTGGCGGCGGCGGCGGCGGACGGCGGCGGCGCGGCGGCGGCGGCGGCGCGGCACCGGCGGCGGCGGGCGGCGGCGGCGGCGGCGGATTGGCCCCCCAGTAGCAGGCCATCCAAAGACGACTGCTGCATATGCTGCGGTTCGGGCCAGGCTCGGGTGCTACATATATGTGTTGGGAGGGCGGGTGGGAGTGAGCGAGACGGCTTGCGGGCTGGGAGGGCGTCTTGACCCCTCCGCTACCCCCTCCCCTGGACCTGGAGGGGGGAGTTCGCGACGCGCTGTGGCGTCCAAAGTGGCCTCCGAAAGCCCAAACTAACCTCCAAGATGGTTCAATATAGCCTAAGATTGCCTCACATGGCCCCCAAAATAATTCAAGATGCTCCACGACCGCTCCAAGACGGCCCTAGCTGGCCACAGAAACTCCCTAGGAGGCCGCCGAGAGGCCAGAAAGCCTCTAACAGCCGAAAGAACATCAATGCGTTTGACCGTCTCGTTGTTAGCTTCCGATGGCCCTCCGAGGCCTCAGGATGGCTCCAAGAGGGCCCATAAGGGCCCCAAGAGAGTCCCAATAGCCCCCAAACGGCCCCAAGAGCGCCCAAGAATGTTTCAGGATGGGCCCGAGAGGCGGAGTTTGGCGCTCTACAAGGGCAAGGATAATGAAGTACAACCCATTTGTGCTGACTCCCACTACGTTGTATGGTTGCGGCATCTTGGTTATGACAGTGGAACGGGATGCAACATTGCAGGGTGTACAACTCAAAATGGTCAGGGCTATGCTTGGGCGTGGGCGCGCGTATTCGCCTGACGGGAACGTTGAGACGTGGGTGGATTGGGTGCAGCGCGTTACATCGGAGGCACGCAGACTTATGAATAAATTCAGCGTGCCCAGTTGGACATAAGAGCGTCGCTCACGGCTACAACGTTGGAGTGACCAACTCAACGACATGAGTTGCGACCGCTGGGCCCGACGAGTCCGCGACTGGACCCCTGACGGGCGCAGGGCCAGAGGACGCCCTGTTAGAAAATGGTCCGACCAATTCTCGCTGAGCCCGTAGGGGCACGTAGCCGCGCGCGCGGCCCGTACTCAGCTTTCCTTCCTTCCTTCATTCCTTCCCCTTTGTTTGGTCGATCTCCTCCAAGATAGCTTCAAAAACGTCCTCGAAGCTCCCAAGGGCGCCCCAAAACAGCCCCAAGAAACGCCAAGGAGGCCCCAGGATGCCTCCCCCCATCCTCCCTCATCCTTCCTCCTCCTCATGCTGCATCCTCCTCCTCCTCCTCCTCCTCCTCCACCTCTTCCTCCTCCTCCTCCTCCTCCTCCTCCTCTTACTCCTCCTCCTCCTCTTCCTCCTCCTCCTCCTCCTCCTCCTCCTCTCCGTCATCCTTCTCGTCCTTATTCCCCGCCTTTCCTCATTCGGCAGGTCCGCGAAAGCGCATGCGGTTTGCTCCTGGGTCTGCGCAAGCTGATCCAACACTTCAATTGACGGTTCCCCAATTCTTGATCCACTGCATGCTCCTCCGCTTCCATGATCACGGCAAATCTCCGGGGCATCGTTTCTGGATGGGCTGGCGGGGATACTGTTTCCGTCGCGGCCGCAGCCGAACGCGCCAGCAGCGTCAAGAATCGGGCGGGCTACGCGCGAACCTAATTGCCTAACGCGCCGACAAACTGGCGGCCTAAGCAGCACCAGAGCTGACCGGACTGCGCGAGGTGGTGCGGGCTGCAGCTGCCAGGAACCAGGTCCAGGAGCGAGCGCATGCATAATTAGCCAACCGAGGATGGAACGCAGCCAAAATGGCGCGGGAACGATACCAGGATGTAGCAAGGAACACCAGCACAAAGGAACGCTGACACCAGCTAGCCCAGGAAAAACTCACTGACCAGGAATCTAGTGCATGGAAGTGGCGCCACCAAAATCGCACACAACGAGACTCCTGAAGGGAGTGCTGATCCGGGCAGTTGTCGTCAAACCGTGAACAGATTGAACACGAACGGCATAGCGGAGTCACCAAGGA